TAATTCTTGACTTTAGTAGTTTAAATTTTTACCCATTATTTCCTGGCCAGTTTGGCTAAAGGTTTGTCAATTTTGCTGATCTTTTCAAGAAACCCAGTTTTGGTTTCATTGATTTTCTTGCTTGTTTTTATTTCTATTCTTTTTTCTATTCTATACTGGTTTTTGTTCTTTAACTCTATTTCTTGCTCTAAACTTTATTTTTCCTTCTTTCTACTTGCTTTGGGTTTAGTTTTCTCTTTTTTGAGTGTCTTAAGATAAAAGTTTAGGTTTTTGATTTGAGGCCTTCTTTTCTAATATAGGCATTTTTTAGCTATAAGCTTCCCTCTAAACACTGCTTTAGCTGCATCATGAATGTATTTTTAAAGCTCTATAGAGAAATATTGTGTGTATACTTGGTGAGAATATGCTGTACTTTTTCACCATTACAAGATTTTGGGGGCTGTGTGTGTGTGTGTGTGTGTGTGTTTTCCAATTTCCAACGTGGTGCTAAACTTTTGAGTAGACAAAGCTTTTCTTACAAAGCAAAATGCCTTGGCTTGGGTTTGGTTGGATCTGCAGAAAGCCTCTTGCTTGCAGCTCAAAGATTCCTTTCAGAGCCTAATGTAAAAAGCAAAGTCACGTTTGTTTTACTTGATTTTTCTCTATAAAATGAAGATTTCCTAGGCTCTATGGGCCCTCCTTAAAGGGCCCTTTCAGCTGGAAGTTTCCTTCTCTGCCTGTATTTCTACTAAGCATATTTTTTGGCAGCCCTTACACAATGTTTGTGTCCTGTCAGTAGAGGTCAGCTAGGAGTGAAAACTTCCTGTGCTTCCATCAGTGTTTTCCCTTGGTCTGTGTACTTTGCTATTTGCCATGCTTTGTCCACAATTTGGCAGCACTATTACCCACTCTACGTGACAAATGACATCATTGCTATAATGAGAATTCCAAGCAGCACCACTGGATCAAAGCCCATCTGTGTGCCTGCTCCCACACTTGACAAAACAAATTCCAAATTCATTCAGCATGCCGGTGCCATTTAGTCACTGTGACATATCCCAAATTTTGGACTCTGTGCAAAACCAATCTGTGCCCACAAAATTAATCATGGAACACATTTTATGACGTTTGACAACAACTTAAAAGGTTCTCATCTCTGGCAGGTGGCTCTGCCAATCTGCAAGTATGTGCATGACAAATTCTGAACAATATATTATGTGGCTGAAAATATATCATGCAGGATGCACACCCTGGAGAGAACCAGAGTGAGTCCAAACAATCCTGAGGTCTGTCTCAGGGACACATAAGCCAGACTGCTGTCTTGTGGAGGAAGGATGATGGCCCCAGGTACACACAGAAAGCCAAAGAAAAGGCAACAGCTCGTGTGCCAGTAAATGCTGAGAACATTGGCACAATCGCCTGTGTTGGCAGGACCAAGAGTTTGAGATGGCTAATTTAAGCGACAAGATCCTGGCAAACAGATTTATTTAGGGCAAGGGTGCGTCAGAAAGATGCCAGAAAAACACATCAATCTGTGCCTTTACATGTACTGTGGAGTGATGATGAAACAGTTGACATTAAAAAAGTAAACCCTTACACTTTAATATAATCCACAGCTCATCCTCACAACAAGTGGGTTTTCTTTAGATCTCTGGTACTCCAGGGTGGGGTTTTATGTTCTCACCTGAGATCTTAGACAACAGGTGTTCTTAAAGAGATTCCCCCATATGGCTGCGTTGAATTGATTAGACTCGTGTTTTTATGTGTTGTCTAATTTATTTAAAACGTAGGCTATTTCGCAATATCATTCCCTTCAAATCAAGGAAGCCAATTGTCTAAAATTTTACTTTACTGAGGAGCATCTGACAGGATCTCTATTAGAAAAAGAAAGAAAATTCAGACTTTAATTGTGCTCATAGAACCTTTTGCTTAAGAGCAGTATTTTACTCTGTAATAAGGCATAACTGTTTTAAATATCTATCCTGTATAGTAATGCGTATGTGTGCACTAAAACAATAAAATAGCAATAAAACAGTAAAATGCAAAAAAAAAAAAAAAAAAAAGCAAAATGTTCCACTTGGGGGTGTCTGGCTTCCTCATATTACTTTCCATTTTCCACTTTCCTTCTCTAGACAGCCTCCTACCCCCAATTTTCCCCACCTACTCCCTTTTTCTCTTACTTGATGCTGGCTTAGTACATTGTATTTGCAACATCTTGGTTAGGAGAGCTTTCACAACGGGGCAGCCTACTTAGGACTTTCATTCCTTATTGGAAGACAAAATTTGCATAATTTAGCTTCATGGGGATTTGTCTCAGAGTTTCTATTCTAATTTGAGTCTTCCTTTCCATCTCTGAGGCAGGAAGCAATATGAGGAAGCAAAAGGTGAAGAGGAGTTCTTCCATAGGAAGAGCAATTCTTGATTAGGAAGTGAGTCCTAATAACCTGGTGAGTCAATAACCTGATGGAGGCATAAAACCAAAAGCAGCTCTGCCTTATCTGTGCTCACAATTGCCTCCTTTGACACTTAGAGCAGCAATCAGTCCCCGCTTCTGGAAAATGAAGGAGCTGGACTCTATTCTCTCTCAACTCCAGTAGTCAGAAATTTGTGACTTATGGAGTGATGTTTTAGGGGATCTCTCCTTTCACAAAAACTGATTCTTCTCTTTTGTGCATTGAAAACAAATAGGTTGTTAATTCATTCATATTTTCCCTTCTCAGTAGCTCCTAAAACTTTTTTCTTCCTTTCCTATGCTTAAATAATGATCTGTAACTGTTCTGATTCCCAGTTCTTAGAATGTGACTTTTTAATATTTCTATTTTCTCTGAAAACTTTTAGGATCTCCTACTTATCTCTGGAATTCTGAAATTTTATGATGATTATGTATGTTCAGAAACTACCAAGAACAAGGAAAGGTTCACTCAAAAGGAGCAAATACAGTCCCAGTTCCTGAGAATTGTTCCCATTCCTGCCAGTCAGAATAGAATCACATAATTCATGGAGAAGGGGTAAAGAACTTAGAAGGATACTGACTCAGTAGTGGGACATAATTAGCCATACACAAAAGGCTGACCTTACAGCTAACAAAGCTTAAAATGAAGCCTCAAAGGACAAATTTTTTCCCCAAGAATACCATCTGAATTTCAAAACAAATTTCAAAAATATTCAGAGATACAAAAATATCCAGCACCCAAAAAAGCAAATTTCACAATGCCTGGCACTATATATATATACACACACACATATAATTGGTCATGCAACAAACAGGAAATTATAAGCTGTAATGAAGAGAAAAATCAATCTATAGAAACAGTGCCAGAAATACCGCAGATGATAGAATTAAGATGAAAACATTAAAACTGTCATTATAATTACATTTTATATGTTCAAGAAGCTGTGGAAAAGGTTGGGCATGGTAAATAAGGACATGGAAGATTTAGAAACACACGTGTGCGCGCGCGCACACACACACACACACACCCCTAAATCTAACTGCTACAGATAAAAACTATAACCTCTGAGATGAAAAGTGAACGATTGGGATTAACAGAATATTAGGTGTCGAAAAAAGGAAAAACAGAGAAAGGCTTGAAAAAACAAAATGAATAGAACCCCAGTGAGCTGTAAGACAGCATCAGGCAATGGAATGTACATGAAAGTGGGGTCCTTAAAAGAGAAGAACTGGAGGATGGGGGGAAGAAAATATTTGAAGAAATAGAGGCAATGTCTGCATTTGTCTTGGTATGGTATTCTCAGTGCCTAGTAGGCTACCTGGTAGATATGAGACATTTAGTAAACACTTCTTGAAAATATTTGTGGCTTAACAATGAGTACAGATAAGCACATGAATGCTATTGCAGGTTATAAGGACCATCAGGGACCAAGGAAGAACAGTTTGAAGGAAGGGCTTAGAAGTGGTACTTCTTTAGCAGACCTGGAGATGGGTTCAATTTGAAGGTGTGTACGGTTTGGAGAACTGGAGGAGATGGACAAGGATATTCCACATAAGAACAACCTAAATGAATACTTGGAAGCAAGAATAAATATGCTTTCGAATATATCACCTCAACGAGAGAGGTGGTTGCACTGGAGGGATAATGAGAAATGAAGTTAAATGGGTAAGTTAAGGGTAAGAGTGTGCAAGCCTTTAGGAATAGAAAATGGTGGGGGACAAACAACTCAGAGTTTCTTAACAGAAACTTTTGGTAATGAAATCAGGGTTCAAGTGGGAAAGAGTATAATGATGACATTCATGATGGCTTAGAAAAAATACTATTCTTGAATGGAAAGAGTGGGCTGAGGACAATCAGGAAGTGTTGAAAACTTGTGCATCTAACACCGTATCAGCAGAGACCAGGGCTTGAATAAATGTCAGCGGAATCTAAATACTGGGCATATTAATATCTCATTTACATAAGACTTGGGATCTTTTTTTAAAAAACTGTTCCTCTGTGGTGCAATCGTTTCTTGTTCTCTTGCTTACCCTGGCGTTTCATGTTTTTCGTACTTTCCATCTTCACTCAAACAGGTTGGCAGAGAAGACTTATGCCTTGATTTTTAAAGTTAAAATGATGCTGCCACAGAGAGACTGTACCCCGTTACAGACTTGTCACAGAACCCCAGAGTTTAAGAGTGTAAAAGACCTCCGGGATAGGACCCATCATCGCCCAGATAGGGACACTGAGGCTGAAAGGGGTTAACTGAGCATTCCAGACTCAGAGCAGTTAAGGGTCAGGCCGACACAAGAATCCAGACTTCCGCTTGGAGCCAAGGGTTCCAAGCGGCTAGGATAAGGCTTGAATCTGCCGCAGGGTGCAAGAGTCGTGAAAGGTGTTTTTTCCACCTTCCGAGGTTAGGGTGTTGGCTACCCTCGGGACGGCGGAAAGCGCCAGGTAACACCAACTCGAGGGCCTCGCGCCCAGGTAGCCTCTAGCGCTCCCTAAGCCACCGCTCCTACTCTCGCGATACTGGCAAGCCGTCGCCCTGCCAGGGCCTGGTAGGCCCCGCCCCTCCACCGCAGCCCTATGTCGTCATTTCCTGTGGGTCTGCAGGCAAAGGGAGAAGATGGCGGCCCTGGGGGAACCTGTGCGGCTGGAGAGGGGTGAGTGTGGCTGAGGCCGGGACCGAGGTGGGCGGAGAGGGTGGAGGAGTGCTGTGTGGACGCAGGGGAGGAGGGGCGACCCCGGCTCCGAGACCCAGATCCAGGTGTCCCTCGCGCCGAAGTCGCTGCTCTGGCCCCTGGGAGGGCGTTTGCGGTCCCTTGACTGATACTCAGACCCCTGCTCTATTCACGTGGACTGTGCCGGGGCACAGCACAGTTCGTTACCACCTGTCCGCGTTCGTAGACACCCGCCGCAGACGCTCTCCCTGGGTGCGCACGGCAGTCGCGGCGTCCTGAGATGTGTCAACCCCCTCAGCAGACATCACTCCCCAGTTCGGACAGACTACACGCACTGCCCTTCCTCGTGTGCGCATAAATCCGGTGTCCCCGCCTTCACTGCCCCGACATTGCAGACGTCCCGGACCCAGTGCGTTCACCACAGAGTCCTTATTTACGCACAGACTCCGTCATTACTTTCACCACAGCCTCACTTGTGTTTGTTTTGGGCTATTTCCTGGCTTTGGTGCCCCTCCCAGATACGGAGAAGATGCTTTGAATATCATCCTACTGATTTGCTCTTCGGAAGGTTACATAACTATTTGGAATAGTGAGTGGTAGGTTGTAAAATGCTTGAACGTGTAGTCTTATTTCATCTTTACAAACCTTACGACTGCTGACTGTGGCGGGTTGCTTGCTTTTTGGAGCAGACTGTCAAGGAAAAGTAAAATCTGTTCTGCTGAGTAATTAGATACCGAAAAGCCAGCGAAAATGTATGCCTGTGCTCCTGTCAGGGTCCTGTTACAGAGTTTCAGCATTTCACTCTTCCTTTCCCAAAACCTTTATTTCAAGACAATTTCAAGCATGCTTTGGACACACCATTATTAGAAGTCATTGCTAAGTCAGAAACAGTATTTTGAGTGCTAGTGGTACACAAAATATAGGGTGGAGATTGTAAATACATTCCAAATACTTACTTTTGCGGTTACAGCCTGAATATTAAGTAACTTCTCTTAATATTGTATTTAGAGAAACCTTCATACAAATAAATGCTCACTTAATGTTATTTATTCCCTATGGTGTTCACTATTTGTTAGCAAGCCTCTTTGTAAATGGCATTGTTTCCCTCCAGCCCACCAGACTGTTAATTAAAGCATCATTTTTGACAGAGGAGTAGCTACTCTGGGAATACTTAACTAAGTTAGGCCTAAGACTTTAACGTCTCCCTCCTGAGCACAATGGCGCTGTGCTTTGTACATGGGAACAAATCTGTTCCTTGTTAACAGGAGTAGGTGTTTTTCTTTGAAAGCCAGTTGTAGGATTCTAATATGTTGACGGGCTTTTGTGTTTTTAAGTGCAGCACAAAATGTGAAGCTTCACCTCTGGCATTTAGTTTTGGTAGTCATGGCTTTTTTGTTTTTCCAGAGTTCTTTACAGTTCCACAGTAGAATGCTCAGCCACCTAGTAGGATGAATTACTAGAGGTTGCCATTTAGCAGGATAAGAAGGATTACATCACCTGTTCTTATTTAGAATTCTCTTTAACAAATTCTATTAACAAACACTTTCAATAACCCTACAATATAAAATTAGTGCATATGATCAAGATCCTGAATGTCTTTAAAATCATCAAAACATTCAGTGGGTTATGTTTGAACACATATTAGGTACAGTTTAGGTTCAGTAGAGTCTTTTCAGTTTGTTTCAATTTTTTGTTAATTGGAAATATTTATATGGCTTGTATATTGTAATTTTGTAAGTCAAAATAATCAATGAACTACCAGCCCCTATTCACCAGTCTTTCTAGTGACTTCTACTTACAAATGTGATTTTCTTTGGAAAATGAAAAAAGATTTTACCAGCACACGGTGTTTTGTACTACTCAATGCTTTGAATACTAATCATGATAGATAAATTTTTTGACTACTTTTCAAATAGAACCGTCAGCTTTTTGAGGCCGTACAATGTTCATGTGTCTGTCGCATTTGAACCCATCCTTTCCTGTGACATTTAGTATTTTATATTCAGTTTTCCTGTTTCTCAAAGATACTGTTTCCCAGATCCTGCATGTGTGCAACATTAGTGTTTGTTTCTAACCTACATAAAATTTGGCATTCTCAGATTTTGCATTCCCTCCCTCCCTCATATCTGCATTCACATTACCCCCCCCCCCCCCCCCCTTCCCCCCCCCCCCCCCGCCAACCATATACCCACAAGCTCACACTCTTATGCTTTTTTCCCTCCGTATTCTACATATTTCTGGTAAATCCTTGAGGATTGAATCCTGTTACAAGGCAATTAGACAATCTTCAGAGAAAATTATTTATCAGTTTGTGTGTGTTTAACTGTAGATATTTGTAGAGCAATTGAATTGTTGGAAAAACTGCAAAGGAGTGGAGAGGTCCCACCTCAGAAACTTCAGGCTTTACAAAGAGTCCTTCAGAGTGAATTCTGCAATGCTGTAAGAGAGGTGAGTAAATGGGATTAAATTTACTAAAAACTTGAATTAGGTAAGATAGTACTCTGACATTTAGGTTTAGAAGTTTTTAAGAAAACAAACTTTAGAAAAATATTAGAACCGGGTCACCTAGGAGGCTCAGTTGGTTATGCATCCGACTCTTGATTTCAGCTCAGGTCATGATCTCCTGGTTTGTGAATTCGAGCCCCACGTTGGGCTCTATACTGACAGCATGGAGCCTGCTTGGGATTCTCTCTCCCTCTTTCTCTGCCCTTCCCCTGCTCACACTTACTCTCTCTCAAAATAAATAAATTTAAAAATCCTTCTATCTTACTTAAAACAAAAAGAAGAACAATATTAGAACCCATCTCTCTCTTTTTTGAAAAAAAAAAAAAGTATGATGTTAAGTATATAAAAAAAGCATATATGTTAAGTATAATTAACATGCAATGTTATATTAGTTTCATGTGTACAGAATAGTGATCCAGCGATTCTATTCATTATTCGGTGCTCACCACAGTAAGTGTAGTCGCCATCTGTCAGCAAACATGTTGTTACAGTTCTAAGACTGTGTTCCCTATGCTGTACTTTTCATGTCCGTGACTTGTAACTGAAATTTTGTACCTCTTCATTTTTTGGGATTTTTTTAATAGAAAAACATTTTACTGGATGCCTGGGTGGCTCAGTTGGTTAAGCATCCGACTTCGGCTTAGGGTATGATCCCACAGTTTATGAGTGGAGCTCCACATCGGCTCTGTGCCGACAGCTCAGATCCTGGAGCCTGCTTCGGATTCTGTGTCTGTCTGCCCTTCCTGCAGTTCGCACTCAGTCTGTCTCTCACTCGCTCACTCTCAAAAATAAACATAAAAAAATATATATTAAAAAAACAATGATATTTTACCAGGGTGCATGACTTTGCCTAAAATTTAGGCACACTCCTTAACTTGACTTAGAACTTAAGCATGGTATATTCTGAGATTTTAAATCTTGATGATAACTTTGGGTTTTACAGGTATATGAACATGTCTATGAGACTGTGGACATCAGTAGCAGTCCTGAAGTGAGAGCTAATGCGACTGCAAAGGTATTTTTTTTCGTTTTTGTTTTTTCTTCCATTTACTGAAAGAGGCTTCATTATAAATGAGGGGTTTAGGGGCTCCTGGATGACTCAGTCAGTTAAGTGTCCGATTCTGTGTCTCCCTCTCTCTCTGCCCCTTCCCCACTCATGTGCACTTGGTGCACACTCTCTCTCTGTCTCAAAAATAAAATATAAAAACATAAGTTAAAGGTTTAAAATGTGCAATTATTAGATATTTGGTAAGCTAGTTTTGAAAACTAACATATAGTATCTTTTGAGCTACACTAAACTTCTCAAGTACTAAGACATTTTTTAATTGACTTTAGGTATTTTATCATGCAGTTTAGATAATGCATTAAAAATACACTTGCACACAAACAATAATACACCTATTGGTGCTCCTGGGTGGCTCAGTTGGTTAAGCATCCAACTCTTGGTTTCAGCTCAGGTTCATGATCTCATAGTATGTGAGTTCGAGCCCTATGTTACAGGAGGCTGCTTGGGATTCTCTCTCTTCCTCTCTCTCTGCCTCTCCCATGTCTTGTCTGTCTGTCTCTATCTTTCTCAAAATAAACATAAATTTAAAAAATACACATGTAATATGTATTTGTTATAAATGATATACATATGTCATTATGTAAATTTTCCAAAAACTCTGATATATATATTATCCTGATTTTATTGGTGAGGAAGCATTATATTGGTTAATTTTCTCAAATCACACAAACAGTAAATGTTCAAACTGGGTACTCCCCTGAGTTGCTCTTTGCTTTTCTCCTTTATCTTAACTCTACAAATGTGGGGTGATGTCACCAGTAGGTTGGCTCTTCAGAGCTGTATACAGCAAATCGTGTGTGCTTTTCTGTACCAGTGGCTTCCTCCGATTATTTCCAGATTGACCTCAGTGTTCAACATATCTTGTTAGAATAAACTAGTATCAGCAGTAGGTGACTTATACTAGAATTAGTCATTAGCAGGTAATTTTGCCTTGATAGTTACTGATCCATAAAAGGAAATAGTGATTCTCTGTTGAATATAAACACTTAAACACGTTGAGTACAGTTTGGAACAGTTTTATAAAAAAGACATAGAAACTTGGCTTGAAATTCCTGAGTTATATGACCTCACGGCTTCCTGAATTTCTGAACCTTAGTTCTATTATCTGTAAAATGGGGCTTCTTTCAGAGCTTGGAACCTAATAGTATTCAACAAATCATGATTTCCTTCCTTTCCCCCTTCCCATTTTTGCTCATGCACCTTGATCTATCATGAAAAATGGTAACAGATTACTTAATTATCTGCTTTTAAAAGCAGAAAGAAACCAAAAATTTCAACTTTGTGTTAGAATTAGTGTAGATTAGTCTAAATTTAAAAGTATAAAAGAAGATGTGATGTCACTCTGTTTTCATCTGTGAGGTTTTAGGAGTAACTGGGTAGTTGACAACAAAAAAAGCAACAAAAAAAGTTCATGTTGGTTATATGTATCCGTCTTTCTCAATATTGAATCATTTCCTTAATTAGTTATGTAGTATATAGTACAGATAGTACAGCAGCCCAAATGATTGCATGTAAGGATACCTACCTCCTTACAGTTAATTATGTAGATAGGTTGTGTCTTGCACAAAGGCTCTTAAAGGAGCCAGGCATTCCAGCCCAAAGCTCAGGGCTGCTGGTGTGCACGGTCAGGGGTTTTCTCTGTAACATCCCCCCGTGTTCATCTGCCAAGCAAGCCCGCATGCCATTTGCTGCACAGAAGTTCTGGGTGCTGGGTGGACTGAGTGACCTGAACAATCTGAACACCTCCTGCACGGGCCCAGGGTTTGCTTTCTGGTCATCATCGCCCCATCTGCTCAACTTACCTTCTCTTCCAAACTGCCAGTGAACTTGTGAGCATTCAGACATCAAAAGTGTGTATGACAGGGGGCGCCTGGGTGGCTTAGTCAGTTAAGTGTCCGACTTTGGCACAAGTCATGATCTCACAGTCTGTGGGTTTGATCCCCGTGTCGGGCTCTGTGCTGACAGCTCAGAGCCTGGAGCCTGCTTCAGATTCTGTGTCTCCCTCTCTCTCTGCCCCTCCCCTGCTCGCTCTCTGTCTCTGAAAGACATAAAAAAAATTTTTTTAAAAGAGTGTGTAGGGCAAAAGTTTAGAAAAAGAAACAAAAGAACTGAAGCAAACAAAGATCATATTTTTAAAATGTGAAATTTTTTTCGAGGCTACTGTCGCTGCATTTGCTGCCAGCGAAGGACATTCTCATCCTCGAGTTGTTGAGCTACCAAAAACAGAAGAAGGCCTTGGCTTCAATATTATGGGAGGCAAAGAACAAAACTCTCCAATCTATATATCTCGAATAATTCCAGGTGGAATTGCTGATAGACATGGGGGCCTCAAGCGAGGAGATCAACTTCTTTCTGTTAATGGAGTGGTATGGATGAATTTTATTTGTACTTGTAGTAATGCATTGTAACCACTTGGGGGTGCATTTGAGTTACAGAAACAAGATGCTGAGGGAAAACCAAAGAAGCTTTGTAGTTTAGAAATCCCTTGAGGGAATCCTGGTCAGTATTAATACAGTGATACTTTTTAAAGCACTTTAAGTGTGTTTTGCTTCTTTTCCAAAGTAAATTAGCAACGCTTAGTGTGACTTTTATGAAGTAATTAAGCTCTTTAGTAGTTAAGGCAGTACGTTAAATTGGAGAAGTCCGCCCTCATTTTTGTACAGAATGCCAGCTGCTTAATTTACTTCAGACCTAGTGAGGTAATAGGGCATATGTATTGGTATTGAGAGTAATTATTTGGTAAAACCACAGTTGCTGGATTTGACTTAGCAGAGGATTTCACACTGATTGAAATGATAAAGTTAGGTTATTTCATAGGTTTATAGTGTTGTGATGATACGAAGTTAAAACTCTTTTTACTTTTGTATATTTTAAACATTTTTGCATTTCTAGCTGGTTACAAAACCTGGATACTAATTGTGTGTGTGTCTACTTTTTTCCCAGAGCGTTGAAGGAGAACATCACGAAAAGGCTGTAGAACTGCTGAAAGCAGCTCAGGGGAAGGTTAAATTAGTAGTGCGGTACACACCCAAGGTCCTTGAAGAAATGGAGTCGCGCTTTGAAAAAATGAGATCAGCAAAACGCAGGCAACAGACCTAATGCAATTCAGAACTTTATATTCCATTTTGCTTTTAGCTAGAAAAGTTTTACTTGTGACCTACTGATGGCCTCAGTGCCAGTGATTGTAAAAAACAAACAGAAACTTCCCGTGAAATCCTTCTTGCCATTTTATAAACACCTATTTTAACATCATTTATGGTTCCAGAGATGCATACACTTTTTTCTGACAAGAAAAAGTGAAAGGTGACGAGGGCAGTTCTGTCCTGCTGTTTTTACAGGCCTTTTTCAAATGCAGATTTTGTCATAAAGTTGTTATAGATTTTTAAAACTGCTTTTTTAATATTAAAATGTACTTTTACATTCTTAATCTTTTTTTAGAAAAGAAAACCTTTTCTTCATTTGGCTGCTTATTTAAAAATAACAATTCTCCAATTCTTTTTTTGCTTACTCTATTTTTTTTAACCTGTAAAATTTCTTTACGGTTTTTCCAAGAAATTAAACATAACAGTCTCAGCTACAGCAGTTCTTTACACTATCAGTGTTAACACCACTGCTGCATTTTGTACTTTGAACACATGCGTAATATATATTATCAATGGTAAATCATAACTCAACAGAGTGGAAATTTTTTACTTTTATTTAAACATACTGTATAATGAATATTCATTTATACTGATTTATAAAAGTTTTTAAACACTGAAACAATCATTGCTAAAATATATATTCTTCCATAATATTTGAGCAGTGAGGCAAGAGGGTGTAATTTGATTGTTGGCATTACTGGTTACATCTCTTTATGTTCAACAATATATCATAAATTACAAACGCAGAAACAGTTTCAGGCTTCATTTCTTTTGCAAATTTTTAAGGCTATTTTTATTTGAATATATTTCTATATTTTGCTTTTTCCATTCCTAGGGATGAGCCAGTTAGTTTGTGTTGGGAAGCAGCAGAAGCGAGGACGAAGAAGTAATACCTTTAACCTCACTGGCCTCAAGAGTCACACACTCTTTACTAGCTCACCTTAAAAGAGTTGATTTAACTTAGGAAGAAGATAGAAGGATATACTTAAAATAGGTAGAAATGATGAGGTGATATGTTTGTAAGAATCTGCAGGCTCTTAGTCAAAATGAGTAGGCATTCATTCATATTGAAATGGCTGAATTTAGAGATGTGATCTTTGATTGAAATGCTGGGAAGTCTGCGAGACACTTTGATTTGTCCACTGGATGTCACTCTTACTGAAAGGCAGCTACTAGGGTAGGACTGTGACCGAGGCCTTTTTAAAGGTGGAAATTAAAAGAGTTGAGGTTCATTTTCAGTCCCAACTTCTAGGAATGTTTGTGTGATTTTCAAGACTTTTAAGTGACAGATGCTAAAAAGAAGATAATGTTTTGAAATATATAAGGAATTTAGCCTAATTACTGACCCTGTGTAAAAAAAAGTGGGCATTCTGTAACATTCCTTCAGGAAGAATAGAAACGTATACCTTTTCCTGCATGTTTGTGAGCACTGTGAGTCTTACCAGATTATTCCAGTTTTCAGTGATTTTCAGAATAAAAGTCAATCAGCATTGTTATTTATCATTTAGGTATTGAACACTGGATTGCATGGTCGAATGTGTCTTTAGTCCATTACAAAACGTGCTTGTATCGATAGGATCATGTTGTTAAATTGTGTATTTTCAAAATTAATTGATGTTTTTAAAATGTTGAGACCAAAGTAGAGTAGAAGAATTATGAATTTATTTTAATTTAATTGTAAAATTATTAGAGGTATTTGTTGTAGAGCTTTACATATTAAAGAAAGATATTGGTGCATATAAAAAAAGTAATATTATTATGCTCGTATTCTTGCATTACAGGGTAAGTAAATCCTGAAGAAATCCTATTTTTAGTATAGCTACAGCTGTAGTAGCTTGCAAGGGTGTGTCAACATTTCATTATAAATTATAGCTTCCTGGTTCAGTATCTCTGCTGTTTCAGAACTTTCAGCCAAGTTCAATCTTTTTTGGCGTTGAAACTTAGTAAGTTGAGTAAGCAGGTTTTTTTTTCTTCTGCAGTAATCCACAATCTGTTCTTTGTGTGGGTTGGCACTTATTTATAATTCTTAAAATAAGGATAGCTTAAAGGAGCCAAATACAGTAGTTTTGCTTGCTACTGTTGAGCATGAGTAGCAGTAGTTTGTTTCTGTTAATGCAGTTTTCAGAGTGTATCCCAGAATTTTAAATCTTGACCATAGAGATTCAGTCATTTGGTGGCAGAGATGTACAGTAGGTAGTCTAGTATAGCAAGGAAATGAAGGGAGTTGTCATCTTATAAATAAATATGTGATTCATGAACGTAACTAGGCACATCGTAAGTATTTAATAGGGTTTTGATTTGTAAATTATAAACTACTCAATTTCCATATATTTTCTGGTATTTCAGAATGGTTCGATTCAGTGATTCCCAACCTTATCTGCACATTAAAACTCCTGCAGAGATTTAAAACTATTTATTAGTACATGAGTCCCATTCTTTATCAAGTAAGATGAGAATCTCTGAGGGTGGGGCCAGATACTTTTTTTTTTTTTTTTAAAGCTTTCCAGTTGGTTCTAAAGGACATCTAGGGTAGAGAACCACTTGTTTTCTCCTTTACAAAATGCTCTAATCACACTCCTGTCATGAACTTAAATTCTAATGGGGAAAAACACAATTAAGTGCATAATATATTTGGAAGTATCAGAATAGAAAGATTCAATTTACAGCTACTGACAAGTAGTTGCAAATATAATAATTGTTATCTTATTTAGTTATTTCTTTAGGAATAAAAGGTACTTGCCATTCATTATTTGGAAGTAATTATAGTTGGTTTTTTTTCTGTCAGTAGTTTAAATGTAAGATTTTAATGTTTGTCATCTTTCTGCCCCCTTTGTCTTTAAAACTTACAGAAATAATGTTTATTAGTTGAGAAAGCATGTTTAAAAACTGCAGATGAGAAATACTGTCATTGGTTATTATGTGCTGTTTTAATATGGCCACTTTGTCCGTTACTATACTAGATTATAATGGCCAAGTTCGTTGGAGGAGAATTCAGATGTGTTTTTAAAAAATCATTGTCTTCCTCTACCAAGCTTTTTAGTTATTTTGTTCAAGTACTTAAGTAGTTTGGCTCAAGTACTTTACTTACAATTAAAATGGATATTATAGCATTTAGTAGAAGAAATGGCTATGGCTTATCTGAAAAGAATGTCAGCATGACTTGGTGTAGACTTAAAAGAATACATGTTGTGAATATTTTATAATGTGGAATGATCATTGAAATATCAAGGACTCTGGTAATTGTATTTCCTGAATAAATGTACATTTATGACTTTTCTAACTTACATTTTGTTGTCTCCTAACAATCTGGTTTTATACTTTTTATTGTCCAAAGTTTCACTAATCATGTTTGTTCAACAGTTGTTGCAGTTCTTTAATGGTTAAATAGTGGGAAAAAATCAAATTGCTTGTTCATTAATTTTCAAGAACTTCCGAACTAATTTGTATCTGGACATAGTTTTTCAAAATATTAGCAAACAGTACATTTCTTTAATTCCTTAGTGTAAGGCAACAAAAAATACCCAAAATGGATTTAACACTTCTTCAGTAGATGACTTCATTTATTACCAACTTAATTCTGATTCTAAGGTTTATCGGAAATAAACTTGTATTCTTGTTATTTGGATTTGAAAAAAAAATTGGTATAACTACACAATAAATGTGTTTCTGAAAGCTCTGTATAAAATAACTTTTAAATAAGGTAAAAAGCACAATCCATGGTGGTTACTGGATTGAAACTTTGACTTCCTATATTTTGCTTTGTCTTTCATAAAATATAACTTTAGAAAAAATTCTCTTGTGTTATTTTGAGAAAGGCAGTTTGGCGTGTGATTGACAGCACAGCATCTGCAGGCTCACTACCCTAGTGTGAATGTTAGATCCACCATTACCGTGTAATCTTACATCACTTACTTACCTCCTCTGTCCTGTGTGGTAAGAATGTCTGTAATTGTTAGGTCATTATCTGTAAAACCCTTAGAAAGGTGCCTGGCATAGTTAGTGCTATTTGTGCTTGCTATTATTTGGGTGTAAAAGCTTCAGGGACCTTATTAGCTGAAGGAAGATATGTGGCCGCATAATTAAAATCAACTTATTTTTGATGCCTAGGAAACATAAATTATGCTTGAAAACTTTATAAGGAATGAGACTTAAAAGGAATTTTCAGATTTCTGTCCACTGGATCAAAGAAACTAATAGAATTCTAAAATTTGTGGTGTTTTGGGGTCTGAGGTTGGAGGCCACAATGAAAATGGAAATCATACTAAGTTCAAGTAAGGGATTTGTTCAATCAGAAAAGCAATTTGTAGGAAGGATATGAGCTTAGCTCTAGAGGCAATGGATTGCTGGAATGAGTGTCAGACAAATACTAGGCATAATTCAGCATCATGAATTTTTTAAATGCAGGAAAATGTACTAAGTCACAAGGGGTACAACAAAAAGCATTTATTGTTAGCACTCAAGTTTCTTCAAAATATTTGTAAGCTGGAATTCTCTAAATCTTTACCCATTCTCTATATCTTTACGTTCTGCTTTTGTTACATTCACTATCGTTAATTATTCTGAGACCCAGTTTTTTGTACATTTATTTATTTAGTGGCAGGTAACCTGTGCTGGAATTTTTAAGACTATAGTAAGCAAAAGGTAAATTCAAAACAACTGATTTGTAAATTCCTTAAATTTTAATATTTTAAACAGGGCAGTGCTTTATGTCAGTAAGGTATGTGTGAGAGCTCTCCTAAGTCTCATCAACTACAGAAGTTTATTTTGGGCAGTCAAGATTTGGTCCTTTAAAAGTGTGTGTGTGTGCGTGTGTAGTTAATGTTTTCTCTAGGGAGGGAAAGATGGACAAATTCTAATTTGATAACTGTCTCCAGAATTGTAACCAACACGATAAAAAGAAAATTTAGCTATTGGCAGCTGATAAGCTCCTCTTATTTGGCAGTTAGAGGTAGTAATGCTAATCAGAAGGTAACAAAAACCCAAACTTTAATTTTGTATTTTATTTGGCAGAACATGCAATCTGAAAGCATGAAGTAGGTGGAAATTTTAATTTCTGGCATCTCTTATTTGACCTACATTTGAGCCCAGAGTTTAGATGCTCTCCAACTTTGACTTTGGAATTTAATGAATCCATATTATAGAATGTGTGCTTCCCAAAAAAGACACCTCGGAGTCCTAACCCCCAGTACCTCAGAATGTGACCTTGTTTGGAGATGGAGTCTGTACAGAGGTAATCCAGTTAAAGTGAAGTCATTAGGGTGGATGGAGCTTAATCCAACATGGCTAGTGTTTTTATTTAAAAAGG